GCCGTGCCATGGTGCACGCGGAAGCAGCCGATCAGGGAGCGGGCCACATCGTCACGGCCCTGTTCGACATCTCCAAGTGCCTCGACAGAGTTCTCTGGATGAAGATTATGGTGACATCGAAATTGCACGGATTTCCAGTGCCTATATTACGCATGGCCATGAGCATGCATGTCGCCCCACGCCGAGTGCGGTGCGGGACCGCCTACTCCGACGCGGTACGAGTCGGGCAAGGAGTCCCTACCTGGGTGTACGGCAGCCATGTGCACCCTCCAGCGGGTGATGATCAGCCCTTCGACGTGTTCGTGGCATCCACATCGCACGTCCCGAGATCGGTCGACGTGTACGCTGACGATGTCACGGTGCAGGTGGTCGAGCACACCAGCGCCATCGTCGGCGCGGCCGTTGCCCTCCTCAACAGGCTCGCGTTCGTCCTCACGGCCCTCCACTTGCCCATCGCGAAGGACAAGGCAAAGGTGCCCAGCTCCAACTTCGAAGTGGCCAAGCAGGTCGCGAATCTGACAAGTGCCATGGCTTCAAGGCGACCACCTTGCTAAACGTCCTCGGCATGGGGACGCGCGCGGGCAAGCCGATCACATTCCAGGCCGCGCACAAGCGGATGAGGAAGCTCAAGAAAAGCCCCCCCCCCCCCCCCCCCAGGTTCAAGCGAGTTCGCTGCTACACGAAGATTGCGCAGAAGGTTGGCACACCGAGCTTGGGGCCAGCGATGCAATGCGGACTGCAAGTCGTGAGCGCACCGCCAACAACCGTGGCCAACATGACAAGAATCATTAGATAAGGATGGGCCAAGACACCGCCTGCAACTTCTACGCGGCTGGCGTCGCAGCTGGAACCGTCGCCACAACAACTACCTGAGTGTGTCGCCACGGCCGAACCGATCTTCACGCGGGCCAAGCTCGTCATCGAGGGCTCGGTCAGCCATGAGACGCCCGATCAAGCATGGAAGAGGCAGGCGCACATGCTGGCTGGCACTCGCTCGTGTTGGAAACACATTGCAGGACCAGCAGGAGCTGTCATTGTGTGCCTCAAAAAGCCCAACTGGAGGTGCACGGATTTTGCGAGATGGACAACAGGCAAGGGTATCCCCCTTGACTTGACGGTGCAGGCTCCAACCTGGACCAGACAGCTGGCGCGCAGAGCTTTCACCAACGCGAAGTGGGAGCAGTGGTCTACGAAGTCAGACGTTGCCCCAGAGACGATAACAGCGAGAAGGAGTCCCTCAGGCTACTGGCTCGAGCCGCTGCGCATAATGCTCACGGCTCCCCCGACGGCCAAGAAGTGGAAGCTCAACGATAGGGCTACGGGGAAGCTGCGCTCTACGATCATTGGCGGGCAATGGTGTCAACAGCGACTCGCCAAACACAAGTTTTCAGACATGGACGATTGTCAGATATGTGGTGAGGGATGGGACGGGACATTTTATCATAGATTCTGGCAGTGCCCACACATGTGCGACATATGCAGAGAAGCGGCCAACTCAGACGGCCAACTCAGACGTGATTACCAGGGCCCAAGAGACCCCAGTCAACGATCTTTTCTTCACGCGTGCGCTCATGGAGAGAGACAGGCTACCACGAGTGCCACCACCAATCTTGGAAGATCAATGGCATTACGACTAATGGGAGCCTGGTCTAGTTACCACAGGAGACATTTATTCAGATGGTTCAGGTCGCACCTTGGAGAGTTGGCCTGAGGCTAACAGGGCAGGCTGGGGCTTCGCGGCCGTGCTGAGGCACAGGTGCAAGGGCTTGGCCTACGGACCCCTTGCCAGGGCATGAACAAACAGTACCGAGAGCGGAACTGTATGCCATCATCCAGATTCTCAAGAACGCCATCATGCCTGTCCACATCAGGTCGGATTGCCTCAACGTCGTGGAGGCCACCTACAAGGGGCCGTCGTGGTGTATGCATCCTAGAAGAGAGCATATCGATATGGGGAAGCAGTTTTGGCATGTTTTGCAGGACCAAGGCGGCTTGAGCGAGAACTTGCACATATCGCGGGTTCGGGGCCACCAGTCGGAGATCGAGGCAACCGATTGGACGGAGAGGATGGGCAATCGATGGGCCGACTTCGCGGCCAAGCGCGGGCTTCATTGCCATGACTTCCCCGCTGACGCTGTCAAGAAGCACGGTGAGCTCCTGCTTGAGCTGAGGCAGGTGGCGGCCTGGATCGCCGACTCCCAGGCATTCGGCGACGAGAAGGCGCCCGACAGGATCCCGACCGTAGGGCGCAAGCCGCGCCGTGCAGGGCAGACCGCTTGGCCAGAACGAGCGAAGAAGCCTCATCCAGCCATTGCGCTTGGCGCTAGACCGCACGCCCCCACCATGTACAAAGAAGGCTGGACATGTGCTAGGCGCCTTAGGTTCGCCAGGTCCAAGGCGGGGGGGCGTCGGATGTGCGCGGAGCCGCGTGGGGTCCAGTCGTCTGCCGTGCAGTCCAAAGCCAGCAGTGAGGAAGGTAGGAGCGTGCGTTCGCGTCAGGATACCCAGGACCCCGCTCATCCCCCCTCGACCTTGAGTGCCTCGTTCGAGCCTCCTCCTGCTCCCCCCTCCCCCTCGGACTCGACAGTTCCGTGCCTGAGCCACAATCTGTCTGACCAGACAGGTTTCGCATGTGTCCCCCGGCTCTGTCTGACGCGAGTTTCAGAGCCCCGGCCGCCCCTGGCCAGGCCCTTGTTGTTAGGGTTTCCTCGGAGGCGGAGCTCGAGCCAGGCCGTGACCCCAAGAGGCCCAGGATTGCGGCTGAGATTTTCAAGATAGTCGCTCAGCGCGAAGCGAACGCAGCTAGGAGCGTCGCCCCACAGTGGACCCCCACTCCTTCCCGCTCGTCCTCGGCTGAGCCTTCTCCTCCGCCTCCTCCTCCCCAAGTCGAGAGAGTTGTGCGCCCCGGGGTCACGTTCGCCCCCGTCCTCGAGCCCCCCCCGGGGCCCACGGAGGTCCTCAGGGGTGCGGTTCTGGAAAATTCGAAGAAGCGCCCGAAGGCGGCTCCTCTCGGCAGGTGCCACGCGGTCCCGCTTGAGGCGCCCTTGCCCCCCTCTGGAGATGTGCCGAATGAGAGCGCCCGAGGACACCGATTGTTCATTGCCGACGACCTGGTTGGTTGCGCGCGGTGCGGCTCATACTCAGACAGAGGTGCACGCTCTCAATTGTATGCTGTCTGTGGCCCCTCCCAATTGGAGGAGAACCTTCAGCGGAACTGGCGCAGATACAACTTCTTTGCTGGGGTGCACCCGAAGGGCGCGAAAGGTAACCCCGCTATCCCTGTCCCCAGGCGTCTCCTGGTGACTGACGAGGCCGCGCAATGGCTTGGCCTCCGTCCATAATCTAACTTTCCTTTGCGTGCCGACATGTTTGCCTTCTCTTTGACGGACAAGCCCACGCCAGGGATGAGGCTTCCTCATCGTCCGGGCGTGGGTTACACCAGGGGTGAGCATTGCCGAGTCGTCCTGGCGTCGCCTAATGATTGAAGTATTTGCGTTGCGCGGTTGTGCGCGGGTTTCTGCGCGCGTATCAGGTACCCCATTCGTGGGGGGAGGTGCGCCGCACGTGTGGTGGTGCTCACACCCTTGGGTTCGGCACGAGGGCGGATCGGTTACCAGTCCGCCCTGACCGTTGCTTTGGTTTAGGTTAGCTCATCGTCCTGGCGTTCTCTACACCAGGGGTGAGCATTGCGCTGATACCGTGGCATCGCCTAAGCTTGTCTTTTTCTGCGCATCCGCGTGTGCGCGCGCTGCACGTGTATCAGACACTCCAGTTGTGGGGGAAGGTGCGCTGCACGTGTGGATGGGGTTCACCCTGAGGGCCGCGCACGGGGGTCGGATTTCTTGTCCGCCCTGACTGATGCTATGCCACAGGTTGTTTTCTTATCCCTGGCCCAGTGCTCGGGTTGCATAGGGGGGTGGGGCTTCGTACTGGCGGGGGGGGGGGCAGGTTGCGCAGCCTGCCTCTGAACCCGAGCCTTGGGGTCCCCCCTGCCGTCGTTGCCCCCCCCCCCCCCCCTCTCCCACCGCTTCCTTTTCCCTCTTTGGGCAGGTCTGTCCCTGGAGCACGGCATGGGCGGCCCTTGAGGGCCCCCCTGGCGACCGATGCGCTCGGGCACGGGTATTCCAGTGGGGGGCTCGGGCACGGGGGTGGCCGTGGAAGCCTGCCGCCCCGACCGTCGCTCCTCCTCGCTTCTCCTCCCCTTCCGGGCGGGGAGGAGGCCAGTCTCCATGGTCGCAAAGCCGTCTAAGGTGCTGGCTTACGCCAAACGTGCGTCTCCTTTCGCCTCTCCAGGGTCGCTCGTGGTCGTTCGGATCTCGAGGGCCGGCGTCGGCGATGTCGCATCCCCCTCGCAAGGGTGTGCTGATTGCTTTATAGTATATATTGCGTCGGTGCGCTCATCGCTTGTGTGTGCGATTGTGCTGCTCTGTTTCCCCATCGCTGCTGCTCCGTCCCGACCCCGAACTCGGCGCGTCTCTCTATGCGTCCCGTGCTCCTCCTCCTCCTCCTCTTCCTCCTCCTCTTCCTCCTCCTCCTCCTCCTCCTCCTCCTCCTCCTCCTCCTCCCCCTCCTCATCCTTCTTCTCCTCCGCCTCCTCCTCTGCGGTCGGCTACGTGTAGGGGTGACCTTTGGCCTTTCGCTGGAGTGAGCTTTCGCCAGAGTGGTTGCGCGCAGCAGTGACCTCTCGCTCGAGCGACCTCTGGTGCGGGCACACATGGGTCCCACCCCAGAGCCCATCGAGCCATGACAAAATCATGACGGGGGACGGACGTTATAAGCAATCGTGGCGTCGGGTGTCTGGGACCAGCACTGGCTGGCGCGAGTGGGTTGCTTGGAATTGGGATCCCCGCGGCCCCCCGCAGTGGCGCACCAAAGGTCACTCTTGCCAGGGATCGCTCGTGCGGAAGTCATCGTCGGCGTCGGCGTCGGCGTCGGCGTCGGTGTCGTCGGCGTCGTCGCAGGCGTCGGCGTCGGCGTCGTCGTCGTCGTCGTCGCTCGAGGTCCGACAGCGGCATCGACCGCGTCACGCTACGGTTTGCGGACCCCATGAGGGAGAAGGGTTTCGCGGACACTCACAAGGCTCGAAGAGGAAACGAGGAGGCACCCTCCATCCTCTACTAGGAGGGCTCGACCTCCTCCTCCTGCTCTTCCTCCTCCTGCTCCTGTTCCTGCTCCTGCTCCTGCTCCTCCTCCTCCTCTTTCTCCTCCTCCTCCTCCTCCTCCTCCTCCCCTCCTCCTCCTCCTCCTCCTCCTCCTCCTCTTGCTCCTCCTCCTCCTCCTCCTCCCTCCTCCTCCTCCTCCTCCTCCTCCTCCTCCTCCTCCTCCTCTTGCTCCTCCTCATACTGCTTCTCCTCCTCCTCCTCCTCCTCCTCCTGCTCCTCCTCCTGCTCCTCCTCCTGTTCCTCCTCCTCGTCCTGCTCCTGCTCCTCCTCCTGCTCCTCCTCCTGCTCCTCCTCCTGTTCCTCCTCCTCGTCCTGCTCCTGCTCCTCCTCCTGCTCCTCCTCCTGCTCCTCCCTCCTCCTCCTCCTCCTCCTCCTCCTCCTCCTCCTCCTCCTCCTCCTCCTGCTCCTCCTCCTGCTCCTCCTCCTGCTGCTCCTCCTCCTCCTCCTCCTGCAGCGGGGCCCTGGAGGTCCCGAGTCTGAGGGGACCTCCAGGGCACTCGGGGGGGCGCGGCGCGGGCCCTTTCCCGCAGCCCCCACGCCGCCGCCCTTGAGCTTCGCCGGGAACGTGACGATGAGCGGGGGCACCGAGACGCCGCCCCGGGCCAGCCGCCCGCGCCCACGGCGCCTGGTTGCCGCCAGCCGCCGCCCTCCTGCCGCCAGGCCGCGGCGCTGCCCGGCCGCCCGGCGTCCAGAAGCAGTGGCTCGAGCCGCGCCAGGGCCCAGCCGCCGCGCGCCCCGCCTCCGTCGGCCAGCGCGCCGGTCCCCCAGCGCGCCCTGCCGGGCCGGCCCGCCCTGGCCGGGGCCGCCCCCTGCGCCCAGCAGCAGCCCCGAGCCGTCGCCCAGCAGTCAGCCCAGCGTCGCCGCCGCACCGCGGCCTCAGGCCAGCCCAGCTGCCCGGCGGCGCTGCAGGGCCAACTGCGCCTGCACGGCGCAGCTGATGACCCTGTAGGCCCGCGCCAGCTCGCCGGGCTGCTGGTCCCCGGGCAGAGTGCGCACCTGCCGCAGGAGCCACTGCCTGGCCTCCCCGCCGAGGCGACCCGGGGTCTCCACCACGAATGGCGTTAGCCTGTCCCCCGGGTACCTGGCGTGCTTTTGGCGCTCGGCCCGCCTCGCGGCTTCCCCCAGCCGCCGCGCCGCCGCCGGCATCACGTCCTCCGCCGCCGGGTGGCGGACCGACACGTCGATCCAGTGCCGACCCGCCCCGTCGTTATATTCGACGTCCAGGATCGCGCGCTCGACGAGGTCCGCGCCCGGCAGGTCCGTCGGGCGCCGGTTGCGGACGCGGTCCCAGGCCGGCACCCGCTGCTCCGTCAGCGGCTCTTGGTGCAGCCAGCGCCGGACCAGGCCAGCCGCCGCGTGCTCGAGGTTGGCGTGGCGGCGCTCTACCCCGCCTCCCAGTGCGCAGGTGGCGGCGTGCGTGCCTTGCTCATCCAGCGGCTGGCCGCAGGGCGCGCCTCGGGCCCCTTGGGCGGCCGGGCGGTTCTGGCAGGTGCGCGCGGCCGTCTGCATCTCGGCCGGCGAGCACTCAGGCCTGGGCAGGTGCGCGCGGGCGCGAAGCCCCGTGGCCCAGAGCGCGTCCTCCATCGAGCAGGCGGGGTCGCTCGGGTAACCGAGGAAGCCCGCGGCCCCTGGCCCTCCGGCCCCCAGGAGCGCCGCCCGCTCGTGGTTGTGCAAACGCTGCCTCAGGGCAGCGTGTGTTTTCTTTTGCACAGCTTGCACGAGAGTGCTCTGCTTCGCGGGGTGCTGCAGGGCGTCCAGTAGGGAAGCGCCTGGTGCGGGGTCCGCGCCCTGGAGGGAGAGCTCCGTCCGCGCGTCGGAGAGAGCCTCGCCGAGGCGCGGCGCGGCGTCCAGGAGCTCGAGCACGGAGTCGGTGCCGAGGTCTGCGGCCACGCTGGACACGCACGCTGTCCAGCCCGCCCAGAAGGCCGCGGCTCGTCGCGTAGGCGCCCACTGTAGCCCTGCGCCAGAGAGCTTGAGGGGCAGGCCGAGGATCTCCCGCGCGGCGGCGTCCAGGGGCCGCCCGGCGAGCTCCTCCCAGTAGCCCGCCAAAGTAGCGTCGTAGCGAGCCGCGTCCGCCTCGCCAGCCAGCTGCGCGCGCAAGACGTGCTGGCTCGCGGCGCCCGCGTAGGTCCGCAGCAAGCTCCCAGTCGCTTGCAGCGAGAGCCCGTGCTCCCCGACCGTGCGCTTTCCCAGCGGCCGGAGGGCGTTCCAGAGCTGCGTCAGACGCCCGGCCGCCTGCTCGAGGCCGCTGTTCTGGCCCAGCTCGAAGGGCGCGTCGGCCACGTCGCCCCGCGCCCGCAGGTGCGTGCCGAGCACGGGGAGCGCGGGCACGAAGTGCGCTCGGAGTTCCGGGGGCACGGCCTGCGCCCCGGACGGAGACCACACCTGCGTCTTGCTGGCGTTGAGCTCCAACCCGAGGGGTCCCAGGAGCTCTCCCAAGCGGTGGAGGGCGGCCGTGGCAAGCTGCGCCGGGAGCGCCAGATAGGTGTCGTCCAGGTAAGAGTAGAGTCTTACGTCTGGGTCCTGGCGCGAGAGCTCTTCCAGCAGCTGGGAGAGCGCCTCTCTCTGGCCGACTGCGAAGGCAGCTGGCGCCAGGGGGTCTCCCTGGTCAAAGCCGAGGGTGCTCTCGACCTCCTCGAAACTGCCCGCTGCGTCCCGCCAGAGGTGCTGAGCAGACCCAGAGTACCACTTGTCCAGCACCCACGCGATCTCTGGCACGTGGACAGCCATGGCCCGAATGGCTGGGTCTCGCCGCAAGCGCTGGAAGGCCGCCTTGATGTCCACCTTGATGAACACCATGCCCGGGTGAGCGTCTGACTGGGTCTGCAGCTGCTCCTCCTCCTCCTCCTCTTCCTCCTCCTCCTCCTCCTCCTCCTCCTCCTCCTCCTCCTCCTCCTCCCCCCCTTTCCCCTCCTTCTCCTCCTGCTCCCCCTCTTTTGCTCCCTTCTGCGAGCCACTCCTTGGGTGACCTGCTGCGCCCGTGTTGGAACGCAGTAATTACGTTCCGTGTTCAAAACGTCCGTGTTAGCACGCTGCGTGTTGGCTAGGGACGCGTTGGCCCACGTTTTGTCGAACGCGTCGCGCCAGACCCCTGTTTTCGGTCTACGTGTTGAGCTCCGTGTCGACACGCTACGGGTTGCGTGCTGTGCATCGGGGTGGCTTGGAGCGTCCCAATTACAAAACCAGGTGCCCGAGGATCTGAGGTTCGTGGCCTCCAGGAGGCTTCCGAGAAAGAACTACAGTCGGGGCCCTGAAGAAGGAACCCTTTTCGTTGGGGAGGGGCTCCGCGTTCCTTCAGTGTTTCACAGCTTGCCTCAGGTTTTCCTTATGTTTTCGATAGGAAGTCGAAGTTGAACTTATGGAAAAAAAGGGGCCTCGTTCCTTATTTGGGGTTCCTTAGGTCAAGGCCCCGACTGTTTTCGAAGATGAGATGACTGGCACAAACATGAGCCTCTGGAGGTCCGCACGGATATCTTGGATCGGGGTTGGGCCCCCCTGGCGGCGCCTCTGGCGTTGCCTTTGGCGCGCTCCGCGCGCCAGTGAAGGGGGTCCAGTGCCGATCCAAGAAATCCGCGCGCACCACCAAGAGGTGATGTTTGTGTCATTGCCTGTTACTCTACACAGGAGCCCAGACCCCCGACGGTCCAGCCTGTCGCAGCACCAGGCGGTTTCTCGTGGCCACGACGGGATCCGCACCGAAGTCCTGAGCCAAGCGCACCCCAGGAGAGGTCGGGGGATCGGCCTGCGATGCCCAGCCCCTGACCTTCAGCGATGTGTTTTTGTCAGGCGATCGCAAACATGGATTAAGGGGGCATGGATTGGCGACGGGTCCCGTTTCCATGGGAAATCGCGGACCTCCGCCGCCGAACGAGGCGGCACCGGCCGCATTCTGGGGAGGGCCCCCCCCTCCCGATCCATGGATGTGGCGACCGCGCGCCAAAGCCATGGATCGCTGATCCATGTATGCGCGCCCCCGATTCTGAGCGGCCCCGCCGCCTGCTCAGTGGGCTTTCTCCTCCTCGCCTTCCCCCAGGAGGAGGAGGAGGAGGAGGAGCAGGAGGAGGAGGAGGAGGAGCAGGAGGAGGAGGAGGAGGAGGAGGAGGGTCGCTGATCCATGTTTGCGCGCCCCCGATTTTTGTTCAGATGGCGAGCTTCCTCGATTTCGACCTCCGGGGCCGCCGTCGGGCTTCGGAGAGCCCGAGGGGAGGTGGCCGAGCTCTCTTGCTTTCGCGTGCGCACGCGGGGCTCGAGGAAGAAGCGCGCGGAGCTTCCCTGCGTGCCTCTCGATGCGGCTCGATGTTTCAGCTTGATCGGCGCTCCAGAAGGGATGCTCTGAGCCGTCTCGATGGCAGCGATGCTCGTAAATCTTTTGTAGCCGTGTGCGGCTCGATGTCATACGCCACAAGCACACTCTGTCCGAGGGCCGCCTACGATCCGATGCGATGCGAGTCGATTCGCAGGCCCAGCCAACGATTCTGATTCGATCCGATCTGGTTCGATTCACCGGCATCGGCCTTGGACAGCCAGAGTTGGGCGCGGCGATCTGGTTTCGATCTGATTCGGGACGATCGGTTGGCGACCTGGTCCGTTTAAGATCCGATCTGGTTTCGCGAGTCGATCCAGCTCTGGCTTGCAAGTCTCGATGAAGAAAACACGACCCACACAAACTTTCGGAGGTCCGCGCGGACCTCCGAAAGTTGATGGTCAGGACCTTTGGCATATCTTGCTGCGTTTAGGCGCGACACGCTGACCATTTCTCTGTCCTCGAGCGTCAACTTCCCAAACCTCTTCCTGTCTCCCGCCCTGTGGAGCGGAGCGACACGCTATCCTGTTGTAGGGCATATCGCGTCGCCGTGGCCACCACCACGACACGCTAGCAAACGTTCTCGACCGTATGTTTACGCAGTCTCTTCTTTTTCTGAAGGCGCAGCTGACCAGGTACGTCTGGCTGTCGATCGGCGCCATTGTCACCGTAGGACTCCTGGTGAGCGTGACCGCTCACAGGTTTTGGGACGATTCCCAGTACCCCACGAGTGAGGCTAGGGAGCTCAGCCAGTGGCAGATGCTCATCTTCTATTCTTCATTCGTCTTCCTGCTCCTCACCCTTGCCGCTGGACTCATCTTGACAAAGCACAGCGTCGTCAACACTTTGGGGTTGGAGGTCCTTGTCGTGTCTGCTAACGTCTGCTTTATGATGACCATGGCCATCATCCCGAAGCACTACATCGCGCGCGCGTTCGGCCACGAGAACGCCGAGGCCATATGGGGCGTGGACCTGGGTCCCACCGACGGCAGCCTGGTGCTGTACATCGACCTGGTGGTCACCTCCCTGCACCTGCTGCTACCCATACGCTGGATCGTCCTCGTCCCCCTGGAGGTGATCGCCATCCTGGTCTACATCGTGCCCGCGGTGCTGCTGGGCAGCCCGGCCATGAACTTTGTCCCCTTCAACATCATAGGGCTCATGGTGCTCACGCTCTTCGCAGCCATCGGGAAGCGGTCTTTCGAGAGGCAGGAGCGTATTCTGTTCGCGGGGCTTCTGCAGGAGAAGCAGAAGCGCTTCCAGGCCGAGTTCCAGCTGTCCAAGGCTCGACGAGCAAAACTCCATGAACATACGCTTTCGGAGGTCCGTGCGGATTTCCTGGATCGGCGCTGGACCCCCTTCTCTGGTGCGCGGAGCGCGCCAGGGTCGGCGCCGGAGGCGCCACCAGCGGGGTCCAGCGCGGATCCAAGAAATCCGCGCGCAGCTCCGAACGTTTATGGTTATGCAGCAGTTTTTTGCCCCTCTCAAGGCGGACAACACCGGCGTCCCCTCGAAGGCAGAGGGTTTCGGCTCCGAGCTGTCGGTCCCGGGGACGACCATGAGCAGCGCGGCCTTTGGCGACAGCGTGGGTCCCGCGTCGTTGGATCAGATCCGTGCCATTGGTACGCGAGAGAAGTGGTTCTTCTGGAGCTGGAGCCCGAAAGTATGTCGGCGTGTGTGTGTGTGTGTGTGTGTGTGTGTGTGTGTGTGTGTGTGTGTGTGTGTGTGTGTGTGTGTGTGTGTGTGTGTGTGGGGGCGTATTGGGGGCCCGCGTTTCTGAGCGTTTGAGATGTATACACATTATATACATGTGTACATGTATACAAATGTATGTATGTATGTATATATATATATATATATGTGCATGCATGTATGCATGCATGCATGCATGTCTGTATGTATGCATGCATGCATACATACATGCATGCATGTATGCATGTATGTATGTATGTATGTATGTATGTATGTATGTATGTATGTATGTATGTTTATATACACTTGTGCACATGTATATATCTATAGACATGATCCCGTTCACAATTGCATGCTGCGTATCACGGCGAAGGGGCCGCACTTATGGGCACGCGTGGCCACTCCGCTCAGGCCTCGAGCGACCTTCTCCCGTGCCTTCGCTGCCCTCCACGCCGCATCGGCCGCGCGGATCCCCGAGGTGGGCCGCGGGCTGAGCACGGGGACGGCGTTTTCTATGCTGCCAGCCCGGGGCACTCGCAGTGCCCCGCTTGCTCCTGCTCGCCGCGGCTGCGGTGCACTGAGCTGCGCCGACTGCTCGGGCCTGCCGGGCTCGAGCAGCCTCAGGGGCCCAGCCTTTGGCCCGTGGCGCTGGCCTGCGCCACCTGCGGGCTCGCCGGGGCCTGCTGCGGCAGGGCGGCGGCCTGGCGCTGGAATTTGTTCCCCAGCGGTGCTGCAGGAGGGACGACGCCGTGGGCTGCAGGCGCCCGCGGGCTACCACCGGCTCCGCAGCCTGCCGACCGCGGCCTCATTCCTGACGGCGGTGGCGGCGGCGGCTGGACGGCCTGGCACCCCGGCGCCGCCCGGGCCCCTCGTGGCCAGCTCGGCGGGGCGGGCCTGGCTGGGCTGCAGCTCTCCCTCTCAGGGCCCCTGCGCGGCCTCGCGCCGGCGGCGGCGGCTGACGGGGCAGCCGCGCCTGGCGTCGCGGGGTTCGTCGCCGCTCCTGGGGGCCCAGCGGCCGCGCCGGGCCCTTTTGCTGCTGCCCCCGCGCCGGTGGTGGCCGCGCCGCCCTTGGCGGCCCTTGCACGTTCGAGAGGACGGCTGGCTTTTCGGCGGCCGACGCACGGGCGGCGCACGGGCGACGAATGCGCGACGCGCCTCTTGTCGCGAAGGGGGGGAAGGTCAGCACGCCGGTCGTCTTTCTGGGCCTTAACACCCTGGTGCCAGCCCGCGTGCAGCCCGTGGCCTACAAGGTGCTTGGACTCAGGGAGGTCAGCTCCGCGGATGCCGTCGCCCGTCTCGTGGAGCACCAGCCGTCTCGTGGAGCACCAGCGGCAAGATTGGCGGGTCCGCGTACGGCGCTGTGGGTACCGTGTGCACCGTCACCCGGGACAGTGGCAATGGTCTCCCCCGCGGCCGTCACAGCTATCGGAAGGCCGAGGGCCGCCTCGCCCTTCGCGGGTCCGCGTGCGACGGTGTGGGCGTGCACCTTCGTCCGGGACAATGGCATGACCCCCCTCGGCCGTCACAGCTATCGGAAGGCCGAGGGCCGCCTCGCCCTTCGCGGGTCCGCGTGCGACGGTGTGGGTGTGCACCTTCGTCCGGGACAATGGCACGCCCCCCTTTGGCTGCAACAGGAATTGGAAGATCGAGGGCCGCCTCGCGTCGACTAGACTGGCGACGGCGTGGCGGAGCATAAGCGGCGCTGCTTCTACTTGGAACAGATGGTGTACTTCGACCAGCTCAACGTTCCCGACGTGGCGGCCGCCGAATCTGGGTGCAACAGTAGAGGTGGCGCGACCGGCTCATCACGAACGCGAGCGAGTCCCTGGACTCTCACCTCTTCTATGGTACCTCGTCGAACCGCGGCAGCGTGCGCGTGCACCCTCAGCTGCCCTACGTCAGCGGCGAGCTCTCCAAGGTGCACGCGGGGCCCAAGTTTTAAGGAGAGGCGGAAGGCGCGCGAGGAATGCCAGTCCGCCTCGCTCCCGGGGACAGGGGCAAGGGGGGCAAGGACAAGGACAAGCACGACGCAAAGGGGTGATGCCCACCCCGCAGCAGAAACTGGGCCGCCTGCTGCGGCGACTCTCGAGCACCAGGCCCGTTTTCGCGGCGACCCCGCCGCCCTGGGTGACCATCGTCATCGTGATGTTTTCCCCTTCCTCATGTGGCCCGTCGTTCTGTTCGTGCCGACCGTCGCCCCTGCCGTGCTGTTCGCCAGCAGCTCCGCCGCTCCAATTTCTCATTGCAGCGGGTTGATGGTGGCGTGGATGCGCTCAACAGTTTGTGCATCCACGCTGGTGATCTTCCAGCGGCGCCTGACAACGTCGGACAGCATGCTAGCTGGGATTTTTTGGAACGCTGCCATCTGCGCATTGGCGCGATGCTGAGCAAGCCAGGTTTCTTTGGGGGGAAGAAGCTCAACGCAGGCTTCTCAGTGGCTCCGCTGTCTACTCCGACAAAGGCGGCGGCTGGTTATAGTACTCGAAGGGGCTTGTCTCCTGGCCTGAAGTGTGGTCATGCCCTGCTGACCATCTGGGCTGCCTCACTCAGGGCGATGTTGATTGGGTGCGGCACTGGCGACGTTACACCAGAGAAAAGACCCAATCAGTGGATGGTTTGAAAATTTCGCAGGCGCTGAAGTTTCGAAGAGGCCGAAATACCGATTCGGTGTAAGTTTGGGAAGGGTTGTGGCATTCTCGCCTTTTCGGGTATCCGTCGTTTCAAACGGCTCAAGAGGATAGACGATCTCAAAGGGCTCGTCGGCTGAGTCTCAATACCTGCTCCACGGGAACCCAGGACAGGCTCGGGACGGCCCGAGTGAGTTTCCAGAGGTGAGGTCGAGAGGTGCTGAATGTGACGGTGTTCCTCTTATGTTTCCTCTTGCCAATGGCCACTGCCATCAGCATCGTCGTGCATCATCACCATGGTCATAGATATCACCAGCAGCAGTATCATCGTCAACCTGCTCATTTTCATCATCCTGACCATTATCGTCATACTCATCATCATCATCCTCAGCATCATCATCATCATCATCATCATCATCATTATCTGGGTCTTCGTTGTCATCGTCATTAGATCGATGGTGCGACCGATCGATAAGGAGATCGACGAAGAAGCCGGGAACCCGGAAACCCGGGAACCCCGCCGCCCACCGAAATCGTCCCAGAACCAGCAAAGGCACCCGGGAACCCAGAGCCGGGAGTTGGATAGTGAGAGCAATGGTGCGAGGACGATAGTAGCGCCGATAGTGAGACCGATAGCGATGTCGATTCCGTGAGATCGATAGTCAGATCGATCGTTATAGCGCCCGTGCCACCTATAGAGAGATCGATCGTGAATATATTGTGAAATCGGCTGTGATGTCGATAGTGATTTCGATAGTGAGATCGATAGTGAGGTGAGCAAGGAGATCGATGGTGAGACCGATCGATAAGGAGATCGACGAGGAAACCAGGAACCTGAAAACCCGGGAACCCCGCCGCCTACCGAAATCGGTTCGGAAGCAGCAAGCGGGCAGCCGGGAAACCAGAACCGGGAACCCAGGAACCCGGGAACTTGGCCGCCTAGCGAAGTCGGCCCGGCAGTTTCGTCAAATCTTCATTGTCCGCCAGAACCCCTTCTCTGCAAGCGCTGATTGGGGAATAATTTGCTCAGAACTTCCGACGCGGCGTTGGTCGGAGCCCGCCACGCTTGCCCTCGTGGACCTTCCGTCGACCCTCGGTTGGCTCGGGGCCCAGTTTTGCGCGGAGAGTGTGTGCGGCGGGTCCCTCGCTGTGGCATGCTGCGCTTCAAGGTGGCCCCCGCTACCAAGCACATGATCGGTGTCTTTTTTTTGGGGGGGGCAGAAGACCAGCAAGCGGAGGAGGAGGAGGAGGAGGAGGAGGACGAGGACGAGGACGAGGACGAGGACGAGGACGAGGACGAGGACGAGGAGGAGAGGGAGGAGGAGGAGGAGGAGGAGGAGGGAGGAGGAGGAGGAGGAGGAGGAGGAGGAGGAGGAGGAGGAGGAGGAGGAGGAGGACTTCTGTCCCGGCGACACGCGAAAACGAAACTCAGAAAATGACGAAGATCGAACCCTATAAGTTAGCTACGAACAGCGACGAGACCCAGACCCAAATAGTTAGTTGGCGAGAAAGTGAAAGCGCCGAGCGGCCGCCGGTGCTGTCCTCTACGCTGGCTGGGGTCGTGGAGTTCGACAGGAGCCGATCCCGGCTGGGATCTTTTGTTGCGTTCTGCCGCACGAGCTTGCCGATGTGTTAGTTGTGGGCCACGCGCTTACATCGGCGTCACCCCAACATTTGTACTGTATATGCGTCGCCTTCCCCGGGGCGACGCGCGCACCGAGACATCTTATAGGATATACGTCGTGGCGGGCGCTTTCTGGCCACGCCGCTCAGGAAAGGATCTACTACAAGATGGGTCTACTATATGTTCGGGTCGGACGCGCGCCTCCAAGGAGGACATAGTATTAGGTTATGTCCCTGCGCGTCCCATTACAGCCGTTTGTCAATCTGCAACTCCCCCAAATCCCATTCACGCCACGACCTTCCGTCGCTCGCTGGTTTGCGACAGTCAGGGGCAGCGCTCGCTCCTGAGAAAGAGAGAGAGAGAACAAACAAAAAAAAGCGAGAGAGAGAGAGAGCGAGAGAATGGGCGTGAATCTTGGAGTCGAGGGCTCCCTTGAGCCCCTAGTTTAAGACCCTTGAGTGATCACTAGGACCCTATCCAGACCCTGATGGAGTGTGAATCCTGACAGGGCGCCCTTCACAAACCGCCCCCCAGGCCCCCCACGGGGCGCGAATCCAGGAGCAGGGGGGGGTCCTTGTGCCCATGCTGTAGCACGGACCTTCGACCTCAGGGTCCTCTCTGGATTCTCAGAGACCTCCAGCAGTGGGTCGGGCATCCTGGGGCATGCGAACCCCCCTGCGCTCGCTGTAGAAGCGCACCTCCTGGGCCATGGAGCACGTCACGCCCTCCAGACCTCCGTGGCGTGAGCCCTGGAGTCTGGGGACCGTTTCCAGACACCCGTGGGCTCGAGCCCTGGGCCCGACGACGCCTTCCAGACCCGACGGGGCCCGACCCCTGGAGTGCGGCAACCTCTGCGAGATCGCAGCCCCCAGACCCCCGACGCCACGATTTGTCCATAACGGTCCCGAGGCCTGGTGAGGGCCCCCGGAGGCCGAAGATTGTGAAAATCTCTGCTTTCTCCCAACCATCCTGTGGTGTCGGGTCGTCGTTTTGACGAGAGATCCCCTCGACTCCCATTTTGGCACACCCCTCACGCGCTTCGTGGTAGGGAGCTCCACCGAAGGCCCAGATGCCAGCGCTCGCATGTGGCCACCGCGCCTATTTTGGCACAGCCCTCACACGCTTCGTGGCCCCATAGGGAGTTCCACCGCAGGCACAGGTCATCTGGGGCGACGCGCGTGCGATCCGCCCCGTGGGTGTCCGCCGCGCTGGCGAAGCACTCACCAAATTGCCCCCTTGCGAGGGCGACGTGCACGTTCGAGAGGGCGGCTGGCCTTCTCGGCGGCAAACGCACGGGCGGCGCACGGGCGACGAATGCGCGACGCACCCCTTGTTGCGAAGGGGGGGGGGTCAGCACGCCGGTCGTCTTACTGTGCCTTAACACCCAGATGCCAGCGCTCTCATGCGGCCAGCGCGCCACAGGGAGCTCCACAGGGAGCACCAGGCCACAGAGCGCTCCCAGTTTCGTGGCACCACAGGGAGCTCCAGGCCAATATGCCAGCGCTGGCATGCAGCCACCGCACTCGTTTGGGCATACCCCTCACACGCTTCATGGCCCCATAGGGAGTCCCGCCGAAAGTTCAGATGCCAGCTATCGCATGCGCCCACCGCGTCCAGTTTGGCACACCTTTCGCACGTCTTCTGGCCACATAGGGAGCTCCATCGAAGGCCTAGATTCCAGCGCTCGCATGTGCCCACTGAACCCATGTTGGCACAGCCCTCACACGTTTCGTGGGCCCACAGGGAGCTCCGCCGAATGAGGTGCATACAACGACTGCTTATGGTTGGGTCCTTCGCCAGGCTAATTTGTCCATGGCCCGAAGGGATCTGGGTCCAGACGCTGGAAATGGGCCCGCATTTGCTTCCCGGGGCGTTCCTTGAAGGGGGGCGGCAGGGGCGGCGCCGACGCCCCGCGCGAGAAGGGGGCGGAAGAGGAGGATCGAGGAGGAGGAGGAGGAGGGAAGAGGATGAGGATCGAGGAGGAGGAGGATGAGGAGGAGGAGGAGGAGGAGGAGGACGAGGACGAGGTGGAGGAGGAGGAGGAGGAGGAGGATCGAGGAGGAGGAGAAGGATCCGGGAGGAGGAGGAGGAGAGCCTGGGACTCACCTCCCAGGTTTATAGCCAAAGGCGAGGTGCAGCTCCTGCCGGACAGGATCCTCGGCCAGGGCGGCTTCGGCATCGTCGTGCTGGGCTTGTACCACAACACCATGGTGGCGGTGAAGGCGCCGAAGCAGGAGCCGGGGGCGCGCTTAGGGGGGGATGGCAGAGGGGTTCGAGGTTTTCGAGGCCCGAGGTTTTGTTCTTGATTTTTGGAGAGACAGGTCCCCTCGTCCCTCTCCTCCTCCTCCTCCCCCTCCTCCGTCCTCCCCCTCCTTGCCTCTGCCATCATCGTCACCATCATCGTCATTATCATCCTCATCCTCATCCTCATCCTCATCCTCCTCATCATCCTCGTCGACCTCATCACCATTATCATCATCAGCATCATCAGTATCATCACCATCACAATCACTATCGCCACCATCACCACTACTGACTGTTCTTGTATTACTTCTGGACGTGACGCACGTTACCCCCCCGCCGACCCCCCCCGTAACTCTGACGCCAGGAAGCCGGCTACAGGTGTGAACGTGTGCAGTTCCCCATAGAGGAGGTGGATGTGTAGGAGGAGCAGCAGCAGCAGGAGCAGCAGCAGCAGGAGGTGGAGGAGGAGGAAGAGGAGAAGGAGGAGGAGGAGGAGGAAGAGGAGGAGGTGAGGAGGAGTTGTGTAGGAGGTGAGGAGGGGGAGGAGGAGGAGGAGGAGGAGGAGGAGGAGGAGGAGGAGGAGGAGGAAGAGGAAAAGGAGAAAGAGGAGGAGGATGAGGAGGATGAGGAGGAAAAGGAGGGGGGTGAAGGAAGGGGAGGAGGAGGACGAGGACGACTACGACCGACGTGGCCCGGAGGCCCCGAAAGATTCACGCAGACACGAGGGCCTTGTGCTGTTGCCGCTGCTGCTGCGGCAACAGGTAGTGTACTGTGGTGCACGCATGCATCGGGGTGCACGCATGGCGAGTTCACCAAGATGATGTGGTGCACGCAGGCATGGTGGCGTACACGAACGCTGCGGTGCATTGTATCGTTTTTGAATACTACCACTACTACTACTACTACTCCTACTACTACTACTACTACTACTACTACTACTACTACAACCGCTACTACTACTTCTTCTTATATTATTAATGTTTCTACTACTGCTACTACTACTACTACTACTACTGCTCCGGCTACTCCTACTACTACCAGTACTACTACTACTACTACTACTACTACTACTACTACTACTACTACTACTACTACTACTACTACTACTACTACTACTACTACTACTACTACTACTACTGCTACTACGACTGCTACTACGGTTGATTCTTTTTCCCGCTGGCGTTAATTACCCTTGGTCGAGCATTTGAATTGAGAGAACTTATCAAATTCCTGGGAAGCGCCTCTGAGCGCCCGGCAGGGCCCGAGAGAGCGAGCGCTTTGGAGCAGTTTGCAAGCGCCGGGGCGCGCGCGGCGCGGAAAGCGCGCATGTCAAAAGGGAGGACATGTGAAGGAATCGCCTTTTTCAGGCCCCGCGCCTGGGATCGCTTCGGAGCGCTTGTCAGCGGCTGGGAGCGCCTGGAGCTACCTGGGGGCGCGCGGGGGCGCCCGCGAGCGCCCCGCGGGGGAATCATGCATGTCCAAAACATGTAGAGGAACTGCCTTCTTCAGGCGCCGCGCCTGGGAGCGCTCGGGAACGCTTCCGAGCGCTTGGCGGGAACGCCCGGGAGTGTTCGGGCTTGCCTGGGAGCGCTTCGGAGCGCCCGGGAGGCGTCGGAGAGGTTGGGGGCGTTGCAATGGCGCCATGCCTGCTGTCGCTCGGGCCTGTCAATGCCGCGCGCTTTTCGTCTTGAAGGCTAGGGTTTAAAGCCTTCGTTGAAACATGGCCCGCGCTGGCTGCGACCCCACCCTCACAAGAGTGCCGGGGGAGTCGCTGCCGGGCCGCGCGCGCTCCGAATTTTACATTCCCGCCCCAGACCACCCACGATGAATCAAGGTCGAAGGTTTCTACCCCCAACCCCCTTATCAAGGGAGGCTGTCGTGTTCAGCGGGCAAGCGAACATAACTCGTAGAGCTTCCCTTAGCAAGTTATTGCTGGAAGTTTAAGAGTAATTCTGGGGCGCTGGAAAACTAGTTGGCAAGAAAAATCTCGACGGTTGAAAATTTCGTTCTCAAAATTTCAACATTCGTTAGAGCTTTTTCCCGTGATACTCGATCTTATTCCCGCTCGCCATCTTGATCTCAGCTCGATCGGATACCTTTTACTTGCAAAAAAGCAGGCAGGCGGAATCGGCCGTTTCAAATCATCTCGACACGCGATGACGGTTATCTGAACATAACTCGAGTTTCAGGACAGCTGCAGAGCTGGTAAGCACAGCTAATCGATTCAGAATGATCAGGCGCGTTGGCCTGTTGAATCTAGAAATCTGAACTCGGTCTGCTAGCTGAGCTAGGTCCACAAACCTATTCGTATTATTCGATTCATCTTGACAGACGCTCTCGGTTTTCTGTACTTAACTCGAGCTATAGGACAGCTACATAACTGATACTCACAGAAACCGATTTAGAATCATCAAGACTATTGTTATTTTTATTAATACTACTCTTACTATCACTACTACCATCACTACTACAACCACTAGTAATACTATTACTACTACTACTACTACTACTATTACTACTACTACTACTACTACTACTACCACTACTGCTACTACTACTACTACTACTACTACTACTACTACTAGTACTACTACGATGGCTACGACTACGACTACTAATACGACTATTTCTACGATTACTACCATTACTACTGCTATTGTTATTACTACTATGCCTGCGATTACTACTATTGATACTACTACTACTACTACTACTACTACTACTACTACTATTACTACTACTACTACTACTACTACTACTACTACTACTACTACTACTACTACTACTACTACTACTACTACTACTACTACTAGTACTACTACTACTACTACTACTACTACTACTACTACTACTACTGCTACGACTGCTACAGGTACTTTTGCGACCAATGCTACAAACATTTCTATTACGACTACTACTACGACGGCGAGGACTATTACTACAACGACTACTACTACTACTACTACTACTACTACTACTACTACTACTACGTCTCCTACTTTGACTACTAGTACGATGACTACTACTATGAATGAGAATACGAGTGTGAGTACTACCGCTACTACTACTACTACTACTACTACTACTACTACTACTACTACTAGTATCACTATCTATACGACTACTACGACTACTACTACGACTACTACCAGTACTACTTCTACTGCTACTGCTATTACTACACGAGCGCCGCGGTGCACCACCACTATTTTTATGACTACTACATTTACTGCTACTACCACTACTACTTTCTACTACTTTTTGTTTCGTTTCTAGTACTACTACTCCTACTACTACAACAGCAATCACTACTACTACCACTACTACTACTACTACTACTACTATTACTACTACTACTACTACTACTACGACTACTACTACGACTAGTACTGCTGCTTCTAATTGTACAGCTACGACTGCTATTATTCAAATTGCGACTACGGCGACGACGACTACTACTTTTATTGCTACTACGACGACGACGATTTTGACATTTTTTTTATTACGTCCACTACACTACGACTACCGCTGCGACTACTACTACGACTACTACCACTACTACCACTACTACCACTACTACCACTGCTACCACTACTACTAGTAGTAGTAGTAATACTACTACTACTACTACTACTACTACTACTACTACTACTGCCACCATTACTACTACTACTACTACTACTACTACTACTACTACTACTACTACTACTACTACTACTACTGATACTACTACTACTACTCCTACTACTACTACTACTACTATTACTACTACCACTGTTGCTACTACTACTACTACTACTACTACTACTACTACTTCTAGGGCCACACCTGACGTATGGCCGGTGAGGTTTGGATTTGAGTTTGGGTTTGGGTTTGGGTTTGGGTTTGGGTTTCTTTGTTTTTTATTGGAAACCAATTTTTTATTAGTTTTGTATTGAAAACGAATGGTTTGGCTTCGTGTTCTATTGAGCACCTATGGTTTTAATTAGTTTTCTATTGGGAGCCAATGGTTTTTCACTCGTTTTCTATTGGGAACCAATGGTTTTATTAGTTTTCTATTGGGAGCCAATGACTTTTATTAGTTTTCTATTGGGCACCAATTGTTTTTATTTGTTCTCGATTGGAAACCGATTGTTTGTATTAGTTTCTATTGGGAGCCAATGGTTTTAATTAGTTTTCTATTGGAAACCAATTGTTTTTTATTAGAGTTCTATTGGAAGCCCATAGTTTTACTAGTTGTCTATTGGAAACCAATGTTGTTTTTTTAGTTTTCTATTGGAAACCAATTGTTTTTTTATTAGTTTTTCTAATGGAAACCAATGGTTTTAATTAGTTCCCCATTGGAAACCAATGGTTTTGATTTGCTTCACATTGGGAACTAATTGTTTTTCTAGGTCTCTGTAGGAAACCAAGTGTTTTCATGAGTTTTCTATTGGAAACCAATGGTTTCAATTCGTTTCCCATTGGAAACCAATTCTTTCTATTAGTTTTCCATTTGAAACAAATGGTTTCTATTAGTTTCCTATTGGAACCACATGGTTTTCATAGTTTTTTTTTGTTGGGAACCCTATGGTTTTATGATTCTAATTAGTTTTCCATTGGGAACCAATGGTTTTACTTAGTTTTCTATTGGGAACCAATTGTTTTCAATAGTTCCCATCTGGAAACCAATGGCTTTAATTAGGGGAACCAATTGTTTTAATTCGTTCCCCATTGGAACCAATGTTTTTTATAAAAAATTGGTTTCGACCAGTGGTTGGACTTCATTTTCTATTGGAAACCAATGGTTCTAATTAGTTCTCGATTGAAAAGCAATGGTTTGAATTAGTTCTCCATTGGGGAACCAGTTGTATTAATTAGTTTTCGGTTGAAATCAACTTGTTTTAATTTGTTTGCTATTGCAAACCAATGGTGTTAATTAGTTTCCTGCGGAAAACAAATGGAACAACTTAGATTCGTATTGGCATTAAACTGTTTTACCTAGTCTTCGATTGAAAAC